GTGCTCCCCCCCCAGCCCATGTTGGTCGCCCTCCCTCCCTCCCCACCCAAAGCTGCCTGGTGGCCCTGCAGGTTCCCCTCACTCCCCTCCCACAGCCCCATGGCCCTGCTCATGCCATTCACTCCCCCACAGCCCTGCCAGAGGGGCCCTCAGCTGCCAGAGCTATGGGGCAGGGACTCGGGAGCACAGCCCCCTGGCCCTGGCAGGAGGCGGTGGCTGCTGCAGTGGACTGGAGCCTGGCTTCCCCACTGCCTGCCCACTGCGGGCTTGGGTGGGGGGGCTGGCTCCCCGCAGCTGTGCCCTGGGGGGCAGGGGTGACAGGTGTCCCCCAGATCTGTGCATGGAGCAGGCACAGGCTCCTGTCCTGCTGCCTTCTCCCGGGGCCTCTGCCGCCCAGCAGGTGCGACCTGACACTTGAAGGCAGGAAAGCTGCTGCTGAGCTCCGTGCTGCCCTGGCGAGGCATCCCCCATGTGTGCAGCAGCAGGGCGGGAGCCGGAGCTGGAGCTCGCATCCTACCCCCACCTGCATGCACCAATCTAGGGAGCACGGGTCCTCACTGGCCCCCGCGAGTGTGTGTAGCTTCCGGGAGCTGGCCCCAACCCCTTGTCACCCGGATGAGCTGCCCATAGTCCGCCCTCTCCTTGCAGCAGCGCATTGTGGCCCCAAGCCCCACCTGACTGGGCAGTAGCCCCAGCCCTGCCCTGCCCTGCCCTGCCCAACTCCCTCCGTCACTGTGGGCTCCTCGGTCTTCCTCTTCTCCCTCCCCCTCACCTGCAGGAGCTGCTCTCCAAGCTGCCTAGAGACCACATGTAGGTATGACTGTGCACAGGCACCTGCCTGACTGCCCTCTTCCCACCCCCTTGCAGGCCGGAGCTGTGCCAGCGTCCAGAGGGCTCTTTGCAAAACAGACAAATCCGTGGGTTTCTCCGGCAAAACGAGACATCCACCGTTTCCCCTGGCGAAGGGGAAAATCCATGGTTGTCTCCATTTTTCCATGGGAAATAGAAAACCTGGACCCCTGTTCATAACTAAGCTGGTTGTGGAGCTCTGCTTCGTTTTATAGCTGCTGAGCATGGTACTCTAAAATATTTACTTGCTCTGGGCTGGAAAGTTCTTGTGATGTCCCAGTGATCTGTGCTGTGGGGGCAGGGAGAGAGCTCCTGGGCTGCCAACTCTTGCTCTTCGTGGAGCACTGCAGGCATAGCTGCTCCTGGATCATCCCTGACCAACCAATGCCTGTGCACCCTCTTAATGAAACCCTCTGATGAGACTAGAGATTCTACAACTTCCCTTCAACTGCCTCACTGCTCTAACAGGGAAGACGTTTTTCCAATTTCTAGTCTAAACCTACTTTGCTGCAACTTCAAGCCATTGGTATGAGTAGGTGACACCAGGGTCTTTAGACTCTACATTTGATCCGCTTTGGCAGTGCTCCCTATCTGGACTGTTTTTCTTTTGAGGCTTTTTTTTTTCATTTATTGCTATATGTTTTTAACCAGTGTTTTCTACATAAAAAATATTTTTAAATGATAAAGAATACTTGGCTTTTTTTAAACTGAAACGGAAATCAAAGACAAGCTGTCTTTTTTGTTTCTTTAGATTTCCTGTTGCAGCAGTAACAACGTAGTAAGAAATGACGGCAC